ATTCAGTTGGCAGATGTTTTTGAGAACAAAAAATTCCATCTTATTACAAAACATATTAAGCAGGTTTTCCTGCCAGGCATGTCTGACATGATGTTTATTGCCTAGACCAAATCAATCCCCTTAATAAGCCATAATATATGCCAGAAAGTACATTATTTCGTAGTTAAGGAAAGTTGCCACATGAAAGACTAAGTACTTTGATCTCTCAAGCTCTGTTCCTAATGCATCAGAAATGTGCTACATAACCCAATAGTTAGTCATATCTATTTATATTCATTTAATAAGTAAAATAAAACTATATCTTGCTAATCTTGATGTTTTAGGCCTAGATTTTACTTTATTTCTGCTGGTGTATATTAGATATTTGCAAAAAGTTCAAAGGAGATTTCGGCTATCTACTACATGCCAGAGGGAAAAAAAATCAAATACTTGAATATTCCAAGAAAATAAAATGGTTTCAGAGGTTATTATTACAATCACCGGTTGTAATAATGAGTTGAATTTGTTTGCTAAATCACTATACAGAAGCGACTCCAGTGGCATTTACACAGGAAAAGAGGTACAAAAGAGAAGAAAGGATATGAATTAGCCTTCACCAATATTTTGGATATAGTCCAACTCAGAACATCAAAAACATGTTTTTTGAAAAGAAAGTTTCAGTTTATCAGAGCTGGCTGTTTCTGAACAATTGCAAAAATTCACATATATGCTGAAAAAAAAATCAGTCAGACAACTAGACACCAAATATCTCGCCTGTTGAGGAATAAGTTTTTTGACGGATGTCAACAAGCAATCAATCCATAAATATTTGAGTATCTTTAATGTGTAAAGTTGGGCTCTGCCAAGATCCCTATTTTCTAAATGTCTCCTCCACATTTGGATTTTTCCTTCTGTGGCCATGTGATTTCCTTTCCCTATCCACTTCTAGTATTTTTTTTTTTTAATGTTCTGGGTCTAATCCCTCTATTTTACTACCTGTCACTACAGCCTACAATGAAGTTTCCTAAGGTAGAGATATTCAAAGCAATTCCAACCCAGTATTACATAGATCAGCATCAAATCACTTTTGCCTATACTCCACCTACATACTCTAAAGTTCTTTTAAGCCTCTTCTTCCTTAGTCTAAATACTTGTCCTCTTAGGCTCCAGTTTGATACCAGAATACCCCTCGTTCCTATGCTGCAGGTCACATTATCCACGCATATCTAGACTAAAGCCTAATCTTTCTGCTTTGGTCTCCCTCCAGGAGATTGGATCCTAATGCATAGATTTAGCATGGGTTCCTGACTTTATGACAGTATGCACTGTACTAGTCTAACAACTGACTCTTTTTTGCTTATTCAAAAGGACTGATATGCAATTCCAAAGTCTATAAAGCATGCTTAAAGGAGTGTAGGGCTATAGTGGAAAGGCATGAAAGATAGATTGGTAATAACATTATGAGACAAAACACAAGAGATAGCTCAAGACAGAACAAGGTAAGTTCCATACAAGTTAACTAATCAGAAGAACCCCCAACAGTCTTAGTAAGGAGAGCTCACTGATGTCAGCTGGGCACTACACCATGGACAGAATCTGGACGAAGGGAAAGAACAGAAAGCAAAATTACAGATCCCATGAAGCACAAACTGTGTGCAGAGTAGAGCGAATACAGAGCCTGGCTGTGCTCTTATGAACAAATGTATAAAACAAAAATAGCAAAAGGTTGGCAAAAAAAAAAAATTCCATTTTTATCCATCATTTCAGCACCATGATGATATAGTTAAAAAAAGAAAAGTCCATAACTTACTTTTAAATATTGAGATGAAAATGTATAGATCAATCAATATATCATATAAATCATGAAAAAAAAAATTTTTTATCATTGGTTTTTGGAATGTCTTCTCAATTACCAGACTGGGTAGGGGACTAACAATGTAATTTTTCTTCACTTTCGTTTGTTTGAATGTTTTCTCACAGAAAATCAACTAGTATACTTTTATAATTCAGGACGCATTAGAAAAAGCAGTAGTAGTTTGGGATTTTAATCCTAGCCTTACCATCTTATTTATCAAATAAAAATTTGTTATTCTTGCTCTGTTCTAGGTTCTGGATTATAGCAATGAAGAAAACAGACTGAGTTCTTGCCCAATGGACCTTAAATTAAGAGCTATGTGACCTTGGGAAATTTACTAAGTACTGACTCTCAGTCTCCTCATCTGCAAATAGGATCAATATTATTGATCACATTAAAAGATAGTAGTTGAAATATATGATATTTCAACATGACTATTTAATAATATAAGTATACTAATGTAAATTGTCAAAAATCTATATAATCATCAAATATAGTTTACTATATCATACATAATCACCAAATATAGTTTACTACATCATATCATGCTTTTATAATAAGGGGCTTACTTTTCATATTTCAGATACATATTTTATTCTCAACCAGTTAGAACAATGTGGTAAAGAAGAAAGACGGCAAGAATCTATAGTAACTAGAAGCCCTGGTTTAATTTAACACTTAATTCCATCATTGACTAGTTACGTGATCCAGGACAAAAATGTACCATCTAGCCATCAGCTTCTTTAACTTTAAAGTAACAGTGAACTTATTTGATTTACCTAGCTTATAGGATTGTTCCAAAGAATAAATTATTTCAACATGTAAATGGCTAAGAAGCATATAAATAAAACTTAATTCACCCCTACCACATACACGCTCTGTGTCTGAAAATTACATATACTTGTTATTTGGAGATATGTAAAGGAAAGGAAAGAAGGTATTTCTAGAGTGGATCAAAATGACATACGGATTAAGCAAGCTAACACAAAATGAGCCACTATTCGCTTTACCAGTACAGGTTCATGCCTTACTACCTAGAAGTATGTTTGAAGAGTGTCAGGTCAGCTCTGGTATTTTGTCCAATTCGGTAAGATTTTAAGAGAAAGAATGTTTATTAAGAAAAATAATGCTTCATAACTATCAGGTATAAAGTTGTGTTGTTTACATGAGCCAATTTTTGTCTTTTAGTGCTTTCAAAGAAAACCTGGACGGATGAGTGGAATGGGACAAAACAAGACAGAGGCAAAAAGACATAAGAAGAAAATAAAACTAGCAGGAGCGTAAAAGAGATAAAAGAATGAAAGAAAAAAGACAAAGGAAAGATAAAAGATCTTAATGAAACAACAGAAAGATTTTTCCCCCCTTGGCATAATAAAAAACTAGATATAGGAATAAACAAATGTAAAAAAAGAATAAAGAAAATGCACACACATATGAGAACAAAAGAAAAAACCCAAAGTGACAGTGACATGATAAACAGAAACCAGAAAAGAAATGAAACACGAAATGACAAATGTCAGAAACAGATGCTTTAATCTGTACTTATCATGGACATATGAAAGAAACTATTTAAGAAGTAAAAACAATACATAAAATCACATTTTGTTTTCACTTTACATAGGAAACTGAATATTACTAGTGATTTGTATATTTTAAAAGCTTATACGAATCATTTTTAGACCCCAGATATCTGGGGTAATTTTTTTAAAATTCTGTCTTAACATGGTAGTTGATCAACTGGATCATAGTAATCAGGAAACTCAGGACAACTGATCAAGAAGAGGTGACATCAGGACCCTGATGCAGTCATGTGGAAGAAAGGAGGTAATACAATATAACTCACACAATGAGCATGATACTTTCGAATTCCAAATCTAATCACTGGTTTTGTTTTTCAAACAATATGTTAAATAGTGAGATGCTTTTCAGAAATTTCTATAATCTGCCTAACTTTTGCTTGACTCACTCACCTATGATAGATATGCTTTAGGTATTCTTGGTCTGGATACATATTTTTGGCTTTTGAGAATTTATATGCTGCATAACGCTCCTAACTTACTCATCTGACTGACCTGTAACCAAATGTCTGGAATGTCTGGAGTACAGTACCCCAAACTAAAGCGATAATGCCATGGAACTAGAAGTAAAATTTTAAAAGTAACTTAGAATGCTACATATTTCGCCTTGAATGTGGTATGAAATACTTTATTAATAAGCTTTTAAAGTAAGTGGAAAAATAGCTTAAGTTGAATAATCTGAAACTTTACTACTATCTCACAGTATAATTTATAGAATGTTAAATTGTCTGTATTTAAATGTTCTGAATTGCTCAATTTTGAAGAACATATCAATTTACTATTTTATAACCAATAGCATTTTTGACATACTTTACTATCCAATTATATTCCGAGCACTCACAGTAAGGGCTTTGAAAACTGCATGAATCTGTCACAAACACACACATAAATATATATATATATCATGCTCAGTGTGTATATCAAGCGGAATGTGTCAAAGGGCAAATAAAATTGTTTGTGCCCCCCACAGAATCAGAACTCCTTGGGCAGCACTGCTGTAAGGATCCCATGCTGCTAGCATTATAAAGTGCAAAGGTTCACTGGATAAGAAAAGAGCAGAGGGCCGAGTTCCCTCATTACACTATCCCTAAACTATTCCAGCTTAAATATTTATTAAGATATTAATTACTCTTCCTCCCTCCATCGGCCTTCAGAAGTTAAACTGAGACACTGCGGATGGATGGTGGCTCGTAGGAAAACAATGCATTAAAACTATTACCACCCAAGACGAAGACTGATGTTTTGTACAGTGCATTATTAATTGCTTTTTTCAACTTAAATAAAATATCACACTGAAATAAGAATGATGTGTTTTGTTACTTTGAATAAAAAACAGAAAACGTTTCAGTCAAATAATACCTTTGGGAAATAAATCTTTAAAAATTTAAAAACTGATCCTTTCTTTTAAAAAATGAAATAATTTATAGAAAATAAATTTTAAAGACTTCCTTCATAAAGGATGCAACACTGCTTAGAACAGGTCTGAACACATAGAATATTTTCAATAAATATTAGCTGTTGTGGTGGTTTGAAAAAAAAAAAAGACAAGGAAATAATGAAGGACAGTAATGATCTTGCTCACTACTTACTCTGATATATAACTGCATCATTTCTTTTTCTCTTTGGGGATTACGATACTTCTCATAGAAATCACGTCGCTTCTTTGTTTCTTTAGAGACTTTATCTTTTCTTTCGCGTTTTTCTGCTGGTTCATCTGAACTATCAGAAGATGACTGGACAGGTATCTTCGGCTTTTCGACCTCAATATAGTTTTCATTGGGATTCAGTACTATTACTCCATATCCTTCCTGTTTTGAAAGCAAAAAAGGCAGCATAATTTAATCTTAAAAATCATTTCAATTCATAAAGAAGTTCTTAAAATCTCATACTAAGTGACTTAACATAGTTACATATTCACTAAAAATTCCTTTATAACAGATTATAGTTTTAATTTCTCCAACAGAAAAGTGATTTCAAATTATTTGCCTGTATTGTGTGTGTAAATAAGCATAGATCGTCTATAAGATCAAAAAGATATAACTATAACATATTAAAAATATAAAGTTTAAATTTATAAAAAGTACTTCAGATTTCCCAGAACTCCAAAAGTGACTGAAATAAATCACCAAATAACAAGTACACTTTCAAAACACATTAATATTTATAATATATGTTTTGAGAAAATAACCTCTTTGAAATTGAAGTTTACAATTCCAACCATATTTTCCTGGATTTTTGTTAATCTTTACAATTGCACTTTAATGGGTATTTTTTATTTGTCTGAACTTAAAAGAGAACAAGCAATCAATAAGGAATAAACTGTCTACAGATTCACATATCTCTATTATAAGGAACACAGAATGTCTACAAATACATATTGGATTTTTTTCACCTCTCTTCTTTCAGGAAGGCACACAAATCACAAATCACACGCACACACAAAAAAACTAATGTCCTACTATAATGTATGGAAACAACTTTCTCATCTTGAAATTTATTTTTCAGCTACCATAAAAACTCTCTTTATTAACAACTAGTACCAGGAAACAAGTTTCAAAGTTTAAAGTATAGTTTATTGAGCCAGTAAATCTTTTTAAAAGTTTTTAAAAGTGTTTTCCTGTCTAACTTATTCTAGCAAGGCAAACCTTTCTCTGGTTACAATTAAGGAAACTTTTGGCATTTATATTATAACTGATGGAATAATGTAACCATGAAAAAACAGAGAAGGATAAACAATTACCACTAAAAAGTAACACAAATTTTTGAAGCTATTTATATCTTGTCTTTTCTATTCAATTCTGTACTGTGGGTATCCCAATTTCATCTATTAAAATCTTGTAAGGTCATACTTAAAACATATGTTTAAAAAATAAGAGCTTTCAAAAATAAAGTATAAAAATTCTTATCCTTACAAAAAACAATTTCCCAAAATGATAACTGTAGAATCTATGTCAAGTTTAAATTTAAATCGTTTTTTGCCAAACCAAACATAAGATAATTTTTAAAAAACTGAGAGCAGTAAATTCAGCCAATATTAGCATAGACTCAATTATCCTTATTTTTAAATATACGAAATTGCTACAGATAGTTGGCTTTTTTAAAAAATTCATTTCACAAACTACTTAGAAACTTCATTGGAATTGTTTCAATCCCCACTCCAATCAGTTGATCTTATTGTCTAAAACCATAATATGGTTTGGAGATTTTCAAGATCGCTGAAGTTTTTATTTTAGTGATAAGGTAATTAAGATATAGTTGTTGTACATATGTGAAAAGTATATAATAATATATACCAAATTGATTAATAACACATATTCCTCAATATGTATTTAAATAAATTTTTAGATAAATATCTCATTCACGAAGACCTTATAAAACACTTGATGCATTTTTAAATTTAAATGTTCTTCAACAAAGCACAAGACAAGGTTTCTTAGCTTTTTTTTTTTTAGTTTTTTAGCTGTTAAGTCAAAGTTTTACCAACAAAAGATATTTTATTTGGTTCTGCTTTATTCTAATCTGTATAGCTATTCAACAGTCTTGTAATTCATTGTGATCACTGTCAGGTAGACATATTGTCACTTGGTGATTTTCTACAGTTGGACACACTTGACTGGTTATTAAAATCACATTTGAAGGAAGTTCCTACCCCTCTTCCTTGTGCCTCTTAAAACTTTTCACGCCCTTCTCAAATTTCAGCTATAACTTCTCCTCCCACCAAAAGTAAGTTAAAGAACACTGTTGCACTCTGCTAAACAGGGTGAAATAGAGGCATTCAATACACTGTCTCTGGTGTAAGGCACAGTCAAAAAAGGTCACCATAGGCCAAAAAGAAAATTGCCTCCTCACTAGATTCTGTACCATGAGTAAGTGGTCTCCTGTCATGTTCCTTCCCTGCCTTCTCTGAGTGAATTGAACTTTAAACACACACACACACAGACTCTCATACTCACATGTGTTAGGGTTAGCAAGACCCAAATAGAATCTTGGAATTCTTAAGAGTTGAAAATAGTGATATATTACATTTTAATGATAACATGAAAAATTACAAACTCAAGGTAACAGAGTAGGACTTTAATAAATTGATAGAACATGAACATCATCTCAGGACAATGAGTAAACCCTAAATAAAGGCAAATTCTTTAGACGAAATTTACAGTCACCAAAATGAGAAAACTATTACCCTAGTTTGTACTTTAATCATTAGAAATAATATTTTCATAATGCCAGCTTTATTTGAACAGAAGTTTTAGCTTCAATTTTTGGAAATCACAGATTGAGAAATTACTGTACCTCCTTAATTTTAAATCAACTCTGAAATTTGATGTGTCCTATCTAAAGTATAAAAACCAGAAACATAAATCATCAAAGTAGTAGTATTTATCTAAGTTACTGATTATGTAACTGAAAATTACATGACTCATTTGTCCAATTTTATGAAGACACAATGTCAATTTTTCACCAAGGCATCGACAGATGAAAAATGATTCTATTTTTAAATCACAACTATATAAATCAATTAAAGAATTTTTATCATATTGATTTCAACAATGAATGTTTCTCTTTAAACATCTGATTTATTCAGAAACTATTTTATCATTTAGATATTTCATACTGCCAATTAATAGAATAACAATCAAGAAATATTCAGGAATGTTTTCTGTGGAAATAAGAGCTAATTTTCATAAATGTCTTTGCTGCAAATTCAATTACCATTCTGCAAAAAACTTACATTTTTAAATTAAAATTTGCCTGATAATTAATGCAATATTTACAGATACAATTCATAACCATTCTATGGATAGGAGAAAGCTAGAGCAACAAAATAAAGTTAACTATCCCATGCAAAGACATGCAGTAAAACTTTATCTTTTCGCCTTTTTCCCTGTCACATATATTGTCCAAAAAATCCTATTGCATAATAAAGCTACAAAGATTTTTGCCATATCAGCATTAATAAATATAAACTCAGGAGTCAAACTAAATCGTCAAAGTAAACAAAGCAGACAACACACCAGTCATTAAGTTTAACTGTTTTAAATAGAATGATATCAATTTATATCAGAATAAATACCATTTTAAAAATTAATTCTTTCTATTCCTAGTAACTCAATCAGTACACACAGAAATAAGTAAGAGATCCTAGTTTAACTTAGCAAATGTACCCATAAAGTTTTACAAAACTATAAAATTAGGCATCAAGTATAATATCATAAAAGAATCGTGCACTGCCACTCCAAAGGAGATCCCCAGAATTAATGCTTGGAACACAAAAGATTGTATACTGAGGTATTTAATTATTCCTTAAGCATATTAAATTTATCCTAAGATGAAAAGCTAGGCTATTTCAAATGTACATGGAAAGTTCTGTTATCTTTACCAAGATAAAGTGATCAAACTGATTATCTAACATTCTACAACTAAATAAATAAAACTTCTGGCATCTTTTGTAATGATTCACCCAAATCAATTCCAATATTCAACATTTCAAGAGACAAAGCATACATAAAGTTGTTAATTAACTCTTATGTTTGATTGCACAGTCTAGCAGAAGATCACGGTGATCAAGAGGACAGACGTTGGTAAAAGTAAGCTTTATCTTTTTAATTTATCTCATCCTATTTTCTACTCTTTTGGAGTTATAACTATAGTTTCATTATCAAATCTGTGGTTTATAAGGTATAAATCATGGGATCTTAATCGGAAACTCTCAAAATTTTATTGCTAGCCATAGCATTTTATTCAGCACAAGCGCTTGCTGTGATTTAAACAGAATACAGAGTCCTCCGGGCCTTCTTTACTTTGAAGTCTATAGATGCACTTACTAATAAATAATAGTTCATTTATCATTCAATCAACAAATGATGGCTTAGGTCAGAGGTCTAGAATAGACAGGTGATGCCAAACACAAAGAACCAAAGAGGAAATCTTGCTTAAGAAATTAAATCGCTACAGAGATGCACTTACAGAGAAGATTCTACAAATAGATAAAATCTGAAAATGCCTGGCCAGAAATGGAATGTACTTTTGACCCCAATGAAACCATGCTAAAACTGATGATTTATCTAAGCTAATTTGCCTATTAATTACCAATTATAAAGAAAACGAAAAATAGGAACAAATTCTACATCTTTTCAAGTCTGGTGTGGTTGGCTAAATAAAAAATCATCTGAAAAGTACTCAGCTCTACATATTAATCTGCCAATACTGCAAAGCTACATGTGACCAAAGAGGTCAGGGGCCAGAGTAGAGTCCTTTGACCTACAGAACTGTCTGGTTTGGTCTTCAGGCAAGGCTCCTTAAGAGATAATTTTACACAGATTTATCAATCGTATTTTTCAAGTTCAGCATTCTATCTGCTTGGTTTGAAAGAAGATAGGTGCTCATCCTCAGGGGAAATGAAACCCAAAGTGTTTTTATCTATAAACTGTATCAATCCATGGTTAAAAAGGACAAACCAATGTCCATTCATCTTTTCTGAAAGATGTATGTTGTGTTTATTCTCATCTTTTTCACAAGAAGGTATGTATATGTCACTGTTGCAACATCCTAGGTGCAACAGAGATGAGGTCATGACAACCAATCAGAAGTCACTAGTGAAGCGTTAAAGTAAACATAGCTGTTGGCGCTGTAGCGCTGCTTGAAAAATGCCCCCTCCATTATTTCAGCAATTTTCTCAAGACGTGACCTGGGACTGAAATGCCTGAAATGTCATTTGACTCCGTTTTGTGCTTCCTCCCAACTGCATTTACGTAACAGCACCATGCTAATATTTTGTAAAACGTTTGTCATGACCACGCTTTGCCTT